ATATATATATATATATAAAATCGACTAAATATATGAAAAAATATTTGTTGAAAATCTAATAACAAAATAAGTTCTTAGTTTGACGGTAGAAATGAAACTTACTTAAGTTTTCAGCGAGGGTTTAATACTTTAATTCCTCTTGAGTACTTATATTAAAGTCCTTTTTGAAAAAAAAATAAAAATGAGATCGTTAAAAATTTATAAACTTTAAATTCTGAATTTATTTTTGACCGTTACATCCAAATAATACTCTGTTCAATCATTTTATCCTTTCAAATCTTTCTATAAATAGAACCCAATAATCTCTCAATTTCTTCATCCTTTAATTAATTCAAGTATCATAAGGGAAACAAAAAAAATGGGTTCTAAAGCATTTCTGATTCTTGGCCTTTTTTTGGCCATATTTGTAATGATAAGTTCTGATGTTTTAGCTAGGGAGTTGGCTGAGACTTCCACTACTACTTCTGAAGAGGATTGTAAGTATATGCTCATTTTATAAAGAAATTTTACATATATTTTTATAATTTATCTCGAAAATACTGAGAGTTCAGATTAACATTCATTACTTGTGCTTTAGATGCTAGTCGCTTGACCAATTATTCTAACTAATTATTCAATTTTATATAATTAGTTTTACATTTTGCATATATATTACGACAACAATAATAACATATTCAGTAAAGATAAAAAAAATTATTTAATTCGATCAATTCTCGATTCAAATAAACGTAAAGTAGCTAAGCCCATTCTGAACCTAATGAAATTTTGCATATATGTTAATATGGTATATTTTAACCTTCTGGACTTTGACGAGAGATCTCCATATAAGTTATGGATTACAGAATTTTATAATGCAGAGTTGGTATTAAACAAAAATGTTCCCTTCGTTTAATTTATCTGTTTGGTTTCGACTTGCACAAATTTAAAAAAAGTAAAGAGATTGAATTCTTGAATCTTATGATTAGAATTTTTGAATCTTTAGATATTAAACATGCCACGTGAAAAAGCTAAATTAAGGAGTTGTCAAAGAAGAAAAGTGTATTTTTTTAGGACTAAAAAGAAAAGTAAGACAAATAAATTCTTGTTTGCGTAATTGATGCAGCCAAGAAATCCAGTAACAAAAATGAAGTACATGAAGCCGAATATGGCGGGTACCCCGGTGGTGGCGGTGGATACCCTGGTGGTGGTGGATACCCTGGCGGCGGTCGTGGTGGTGGTGGTGGTGGATACCCTGGTGGTGGACGTAGTGGTGGTGGTGGTGGATACCCTGGTGGCGGATACCCAGGTGGTGGTGGATATCGTGGCGGTGGTGGTAGATACCCTGGTGGTGGTGGTGGCGGCCGTGGTGGTGGTGGATACACTGGTGGTGGTAGTGGCGGAGGCCGTGGTGGTGGTAGATACTCCGGCGGTGGTGGACGTGGCGGTGGCGGTGGCCGCGGTGGACGTGGTGGTGGTGGCCGGAAGTGTTGTTCCTAGATACAAAGGTGAATGAATATAGTAATATATAGTTATCACCTTGTACTAATTAGTGGCAAGATGTATTAGTAGTAATATTCTTGCTGCTTTTTGGAGCTTATTGTAAGAAAAAATTATTATCATGAAATAAAAGCCATCATGTAATGTTTGTTAATTATGCTATGGTATGACAATATTTTACTTTGGTGTTTTACTTATGGGTGGAATTCTCATTTTATATAATTATTCAAATTTATGATCCATATTATTATAATTTATTTTGATTAATCGTTCATTATTATTATCAATATTAATAATAATAATAATAATATTTGTATCAAGAATTTGACTAGATTTTTTGAATCATATATTACAAAGTTTATTTTTGAGAATGGTGATCAATCCCAATAAGATTTTCTCCAACCACGGGATTATAGATATATGCACTAATATTATAAAATATCCCAAGATATAAGTAAATGATTTAACATATATACACTAATATTATAAAAAGTTAAAGTTATATACATGGTATACAACCATTAGGAATCTCCTTATCAAGTCATTTTTGTCTATTGTAATATAGAAAATATCTTATTTTCAATTTATATATATATATATATATATATATATATATATATATATATATATATATATATATATATATATATATAGTATAATTATATTTTATATTTTATGTTAACTTTTTCTGTGTGTATATGTATATTTATGTATAGCTAGGGTTTTAGGGGTCTTAGCCTTTTAGGTGCTAATGGAGACACTAATGCTTTTGGTGTTAATTAACTTGAGTGGATTAGTTATGGTGGGGCGATATGTATTTCGAAATTTAAATTCTTAACTAATATGGAGTTAGTATTGGAAATAAAGTTGCCTTTGATAAAAAGATACTTTATTCATGATATAAATTTAAATTAGTTAGTTCGGTAAAATAAAAAGAAATTTAGGTCTAGGGCTTTGCTTTTTAAGTCAAACCATAAATAATTTTTGCAAAAGTATGTATGGCTAGTTGTTCTTAATTTAATTTTGCTGATTAGTTGGTGATTCTTTTTACAGCTCAAACTGATCTTTTTCTGAGGGTTGTTTGAATGTTAGCAAATGACAATATATATTACAAATAAATAAACGATAATCCCTTTTCGATCAAGAAAGTTTATTAATTCATTGATCAATAATGTAATAGTACACATATTAGTAACTTGTTAACCTGTCGAGAAATGTTATTTCAATTTAATTTAATTTGCTAAAAGAAAGTTTATAGTGATTGGCGATCTGAACTTCTACCTTATTAATGAGAATTCGACGATACCCCACATTGTAATCCCCTCCCCTACGATCAATTTTTTTTTTGTTGTTATTGAAAAAAGAGTGTCATTTTACATAGGGCTCTGAATTGGATCAATTATATAATTGGGTGGGTTAGGGGTGTGTGGTGGTAGGGATAGATGCTACGAGAGTGAAGTAAAGATGAGATGTGCTGAAAGACGGAGAAAATACAATGAATGTGAAATATAACTCGGTGAAACGTGCTTTCCCAGCTTTCACATCTTCAAATAATAAAAATATTAGCATTGAATTTTGAGATCAAGCTTATTGGATATGAATTACGATGATGCTAGTTTATTTTGAACATAGTTAGGCAAAGTAGCACATTATGATTATTGATATATCATTTTGATGAGATTTCAGGTCTTGCTATTTCCCTTTTTTAGATGATCGCGTCTTAGTCTCGTAAAAAAAGAAGTTAGCTAGTTACTCTTATAATTAGTTTTTTTTTTCTTTGATACTTTGATTAGACGAAACTATAATCTGACGATATATACTTCATATAATCTAAGTCACTATATCTATAATCTTCGGCCCCTCCTGGCCATATTCTCTTTATAATTTTGGGTTTCAAATATAATTTTAAAAAGATTAATGGTGAATCTAAAATAAAAAGTGATTCACATAGATTTTAATTATTTTTTTTCCTTTTGCCTTCTTTATGTTCTTTTACGTGTTTTTTTATTTATCATATCAAAATTATTGGATTTCATAGAGTCCAATCATGCTTAGTCATTTATATTCTCTCTTTATTATGACCCCTTGGTGTTAAATTCCCAAATCTTTTCTATATATTATAGTATCTTTATTATTTATAAGATGCACGAATTCTATTCGAAAGTGCTAATTATGTTTTATTAGAGCCTTTAATTAGTGTTGGATTCCTAAGCATAACTAATGTTGGGTTTTGTGAACTAAGTCCCACATTCATGATTAAAAAAATTAACTAGTAAGTTATTTTGCAAATATTTACTATTCTTAGTGATCTGAGCTTTTTTGAGAAAATTATATGAACCTGATTCAAAACGGACAATATCATATCACGTTAAAAAATATATTTTAGTATCAAAACTAACAATTCAACAATATAAGTATGGATACATCAAAGTGATGAAAAGGCTGACACACGACATAGCGTTTTTACCCTTTTATGGCTCAATTTGTTACCTTAATTACCCATAGTTTTACGGATGCATAAGCAAAAAAAGAATGGACATACGTATTTGATTGACATAGGTGAAACAAAATTAGTCCCACATTAGTAGCTGATAAAATAAACAAACTATTTATAAAATTTGAATATTCTTAATAGTATAAGTTTTTGGGAGAAAATTATATAAACAATACCATATTATATTAAAAGTATCTTTTAACCGTTAAACATCTAATTGCTCCCTTGAAAATCCACCAAAAATTCATAGTTTAATTTCAAATATTGGTTAAACCAATAATGCATGCACACATATATCCTCTAGGGAATCATAGAAAATAATCAATTAATCATTGAATCAAACTGTTTAATTGACACATTAAATTAATTAACCTCCTTTAATTTCTCGAGTGTCTACATGTTATTGGATTTTAAACATACTAAAATTAGATACTGGGGAACATAAAAACCATTGGAATATGTTCCAGGAATTTTTTAAAAAACAAAAAACTATAGAAAAAAAATGTGGAAGAGAAAAGAAAGATAAAATAAAGAAAAAGATTTATTTTGTTGAAAAAATAATATTTTCCATCCAGAAGCTTTTAGCATCATCAACGCATAAATCTTGAAAGTTTTTTTAAAAGGAATAATCCTACAATATCTCTCTCTTAATTATTTTTTCATCGCAATAATTAAAGAGTTTAAGATTCATGCAGTAATATTTATATAATCGACCAATCAATAGAATAATTATAGGTAAATCTCAAACTTTAATTAATAAATGACTAAATTAATGTCATAATTTTAAAAAAATTATTATACTTTTCATATGTATAAGTTAAAATTCTGATTTTAGTGAGTGGCCTTGGTGGCTTTTGGGCATTTATCTTCATAATAATTTTCAAATAGAGTTAGCTTTATATTAATTATTTTTTATCGCTAGGCTTTATACTATTTTTTTCTAGCTAGGTTCTATACAAAGAACAAAAATAACATTAAAGAACAATTAATTAAAAGATCAATTGTTTAGGAAGATCCACTTTTATTATATATTTTATTTCTTAGTTATTTTCTATAGGAAGAATTAAAGGTTCTTTTTCTACTTTTACAGTTTAATTTGTAACACAAGTCATTTTCTTGATTGTCTGCATCAAAGTCATATGTATTTTTATTAATTAGAAAAAGTCATAAATTAAACCAGCTGTCATAAATTAAGTATCCAACAAATGGCAATTCTGGAGGGAAGTGCCTAATAAACTCAAACAACTAACCAAGAATATCCGATATGTATATCAGAATTCGATTAAATTTAAATTCTTATATTGTAGAATTTATTTTTTAGAAACGCTTCTTCAATAATTTTTTTTTTCACATGGACCGATCCGAACAGAAATATTAACTTATTTATAGCAGCTATTTATTATAAGTCAATAATTGTATGATATATAAACTTTATTTATAAAAATCGTTTAACTATAATTAATTACAGTATTATATATATAATATCTTATATAAGACTATTTAATTAATAACAAATTGATATAATTTAAAAGAAATATCTGATACGTATTCGCTAAGTTGATTTTTGCTATGACGTTTTTAATTAATGTAGTTGTGTTTTAGTTAGTGCACAAACCGTTCATCCACATACGTGTTTATAAGGAGAAAATATTGTGAAATATTGGGTGGGGAGATGGAAGTTATTAGTTGAGTTAGTAATTCTGATTTAAAAAAAAATCCAAAATATAATGAAGTAATTATTATTTTTCCGATTAAGTTATTATTCAATTGTGCAAATTTTATTCCAACAAAAAGTAATAATAAAGAGAGTTAGATCTAACCTCGAAATACAATACCCGATTGGAAAATCACACTATAAAATATAAAAATTTTAGCGTAGACTCAATTAAAATTGCATATGATAATCTTATGATTAAAGAGAGATTCAATTAAATCGCCTTTCGGTCATTTAACTCCGTCCTTTGACATAATAGATATATTGTTATTACAACAAAAATAACTTTTAGCGACATTAAATATTGACACTAATAAAGAGTGTCAAAGTCTTTATCAGCATTAGTTAAGTGTCATTAGAATCAATCCCGCTAAAGGCTTTAGGGACATATACAAAGAGTGACAATTGCCGCTAATAATATATATTTAGCGACAATTAAAAATTAAATACCTCTAATGATCATTTTTGTTATAGTGGATTTGAACTATATTTGTAAGTGAAATATGTTTTGAGTATATATATATATACACACTACTCTTAACATAATTTGAATTAAACAGAAAACGAAAGCTATAGTTATAAGAATAATTAAGTAAATAATAGTACATTTATCTTAAATATTTCATTTTTCTTCAAATGATAAGGTCATACTCAATCAAACGGAAATAAAAAGTATTGATTTGATTCTCACCACCATACATTTAAAAAAGAAAAAGAAAATTATAGCTTTAACTCGTTAAGAAAAAAAGAATCAAACGCGCATGTGATTTTTCGCGATTAGGATGAAAGGGTCCCCCACCTTCCAACCCTTAAGTTAATAAATGCTCTTACAAAATATAGAAACTCACACTAACCTATCTGCAATCTGCATGGTGGCTAGTCTTGGCGTGACAATATTCAATTTGTATCACTTGGCTTTGGGACCACCCTTTACATCAACATATAAATATATTGTTGCTCCTATTTTATATAAATTTTCTCCGTCTATT